CGCCCCCCCCCCCCGGGGGGGGGGGGGGGGCAGGAACCCATGCACTACAGTTGTGCCCTGTAGCCCCCTCAGACCAGTTGGTGCAGTGGAAACTGGGATAAAATTCTCCAAGGAGAGCAGAAGTACCTGCCTGGAAGCCAGCCAGCCTTCCCCAGGCACTTGCAGTCTTACACACTGAGAGTCAGAGCTGGTGTCCGGGCACAAAGCTTTGGGACAAGGTGAAGCAGCAAAGCTCTGAAAGCAGGTGCTGTGGAGCCATGGAAATAGTTCTCCAAAGGAGGTGTGTGTGAAGGATGAGAGTCCCGTGGTTTGGCACTATTACAAGACAAAATTAATTTGTGGGCAAAGGGAAATAAGCTGAAAACACTCCCCTTGCAAGAATGATTTGCAGTATTGTAAGAAGGGCAATAGCTGCTGCACACCAGGATTTCGGATGCCTTACCCACAACCCAACAAGCAGCACAGTGCTCCAGGTCTCTGCAGAGCACGGAGGCAAACCAACCACCACCAAGGGTTCTCAGGCTGTGAGGTTTTTTCCTCCCCATTCAAGAACTTAAGCCAGAGTCTACGTTGGCTGCAGCTGGAAAACAGCCTGTCCTGGGGATATCTGGCAAAGCAGCAAGCATGCCAGTTCCCTAGCTACGCGGTTGTCACAACTTCAGCAGCACACTTTAACCTTTATGCTTTTCATGGGTAAGGGAGGCTCTCTGCACGGCCAAGCCCTGCCCGTTCTCCAGGAAACCCTATACCCTGTCTAAATCGAGCAGCAGGGCAGGCAAGAACAACATCCCCACCTGAATCCCAGCCATGCCACTGTAACACAAGCCAGCCAGCCTGCCTGTCCCGATGAGGACCAACCCAGGCACGCAGTCAGCAGCTTAAATGCTTCCATCAGCACCCAGGACTTCCCCAGATGAGCTGCCATCGTGACAGGTCTCATCAAGGTGATGGGGAAAGATGAGGAACAATCCGAACATCATCCAAAGAGCTTCCAGAGCTATGCAGCAGCTCCAGGACAGCAACGTGGCTGTCACCAGCAACACCAGGGACCACCATCCATGAATCTGTATCACCAGGACCTGCCCACATGCAGGCTGTCCTTGCCAGCTTCATGCCAGGCCACGCTGGCAGCCAACAAGATATCCCAGCAGAGAGGCCAGTGAGAAGCAAAGCTGTGATTTGAAGAGCATCACCAAGCCTTTTCATGAGAATCTCATTCACCAGCTAATAAGATGTTGCAATTCTCAGCTACCTTTCAACATAAAAGTCGAGAAAAACATTGTCTGCCTTTTAGTTCCAGCACTAGTCTGAGTTCAGCAAATTACTTTGGTAATAACTCAACTAGAAATGCATCAGAGGAAGACTTTGTACTCAGCTCCAGCTCTCCTTGGTCACCCCTCCTTCCAGCCCCACTTGCTGCCAAGGCACACTCGTAAAGGTGAAGAGTTTTGAGTTCTTGAATACAAGAATGTTTTTGCAAAATCCACACAGCAAGAATTTTACATCAGTTTGTCAACCTATCCTGACTCTAAAGGCGTGTGCTCAAACAGCACTCGGTTAAATCCCAGTCTCCTGCTTGATTCCTGTAACTTTATCCTCCCACTTCTACTCTACTGGGAGAATCACCTGCCCTTGTTTCCTTGTTGAAGCCTTTGCTGGACCCCCATTCAGCTCTTCCAGGACAGCCATCTTTTACACATTTTCTACACTAGAGCAGTTTTTCTAGCACATCACCACTTTCCTCTTAAGTAAGAGGGCAGGTTACACTAACAACCCACCAGCCTGTGAGAATCTGTTGGGTGACTCCAGAGAGCTCAGCCAAAAACCTGATACCCTTGTAGGGCATGGCAGCACGAGGCTCCCTTTCACTAAGTTTGCAGTGTATGAGGAATATAAGAGGCCGTGTTTGCAGGAAGAGGTAATATCTTTTATTAGACCCAGTGATACCACTGGGAAAAAACTGACAAGCTGTGAGGCATACAAACCCTTCCTCAGGTCTGAAGCAGAAGCCATGTAGGGCCATCACGGAAATCCAGTTGCTCTATGCTTCAGGAATTGATAGCTGCTCCAGCTCAGCAGCCTTGTTACCTCGCTTGCCTTTACATTCTTCCCCAGCTCATCATCATTCAGGCTTTCCTCTGACTCACCATAAATATTTGCTGCTCCTGCTGCCCACATGCTGCCTGCTCTAGAGGGGCTGGCACTGGATGCTGCAGCAGAAGTTTCCTTGACTGCACGTTCAAGGTTCTGCCATGTTCCCGTCCAGCAGATCACATGGAACAACTCCATTAAGGCAGAAGTAAGGTTAAGGCAGACTGAGGGAAAATCTGCATGCCTTTGGTCAGATCCATGCAGATCTGAGCAGTTTCCAGGAAGAGGATGCTTACAAGTTCCTCTTGCTCCAGTCATTCCTGTAAATTGTGCATCAGCAGGGCTGTCATTTACTTGTGACAAGCAGCTTTTTTGGCCAGGCTGTTGCTGCTGACACTCCCCTGTTATCCTCAGCTCAACGACGTGGGGCTATCAGCAAAGTCAGCAAAATGCAGCTGAAGCTGGGTGAAGCTTTTGGGCCCAGTTCTGTCACAGCCGCATAAAGATCCTCAAGAGAAAGGAAGAAGATGAAACCTCTGGCAAAAAGGAGCCTTGTCTCTTAGCTCACTGTTTTGAAGAGGCCATGCTGTCACAGGGTCATTCATCCTTTAGTACCAAAATGCTTCCTAAAACCCCCTTGTTCTCCAGTTCCTCAGTTATTAACTGCACAATACCTTTATTTTTTTTTAAAGAATCCTTATGTTTCAGTGGGGGTGACTTGCGCTCTTTTAATCCAAGCACAGCAGAAGTTTGAGGCTGGTGCTTTTTGAAGCACTGAAGTTCAGTACACCCATACAAAATGCTTGCTCACTGCTGGCTGCAACTGCTGTTCTGCAATGATATCCCTTAAGCATTGCACTTTTTAGGAGAATTCCTGCAGAAACATCATCCTTGGGTACAATAAGTGTTTGTCTTTAAATTTAGCTCTCTGAAGACTTTCTCCTTCTGTCATCTCTCTCAGATTAGGAGTAAAACACTAGCAATTGCTTGATACACTTTGGCAAGTATAATGAGACAATCAGTACCTCTTATCATACCCCTCGGCTGGAGTCCAACACCTAACAAGTTTGAACTCCCTCTCTTCTCCATCCAAATGAAAATCTGAGTAAAAGGACACACACTCTAAGAATACTTCTCCAATGGTATCCAAATTCAGAAGAAATGAAAGCAAATGTTTGCCATAACCCCCAAGCAAGAAACAGTTTGCCCTACCTGGACACATTAATTCTAAGTTTCCCATGTTTTTCTGTTCAAAACAGCACCACAAGAGCAGTGAGCAGCCCAGCTCACACGCGTCCCAGCAAGCAATAAAGGTAAGAGACCCATAAACACGAGAGAGGCAAAGCCTCCTTATCATTACAGCCACGAGAAGCCAAGCCAGCCCAAAGAGTTTTATGCATTTCCAAGCCTGAACTAGAGAGCTTGCTCTCATCCTTTCTGCCAACAGCTTCAAGCACAGCTCCAGTCACCTGCCATGCCAGCCTTTTTTTGCAAGTCCCTTTTCAGCTCAGGAAACAGCACCACACGATCACCTGAGTTAGCAGAACAAGTAACAGCAACACGGACATGTGTCTGAGAGTCTCAGGTGTCCGAGAGCATCATTTGGAGTAGTTGTATCCCTAGCCCCTTCTTGCCCTCACACAGCCTTTGCAAGTTATCTTTCTTGTTAAGTCCAGGGAAAGACCTAAAACAGTCTTACAAGGTAAGAAATCGTATCGCAATGCTAAGGTAAGAAATCATTCTTTGTAAATTTTAATCTAAATTTGATCACCTCTTCCCAATGCTGGAATTTTTGTCCTCCAGCATGTTAGAGCACTTGGTCTATATTTAGTTCTGCTAGCTGCGCTAGACTGGCTAGGAGATGATGTGTCTTTAGCCAAGAGAACTGCGCTGACAGGAGCCAGGGAGGCAGCTTACAAGTCATTTGCCAGTTAAGTGGTTCCCCAAATAGAATGGCTTCAGCTATAAAACAGCAGGAGGTTTAATACTCTAATATACACAGGGAACTACTTTAAAGTGTGGGCAAGATTCATATTAGCACCCATCTAAACATCAACAAGAAAGGTCAGACCTGCAATATGCAGGCTTGCAGAAGCCTCACATTACTTAACACAATTCAAGCTTAATACAGACTAAAAGCCTAAGAAACAGACACTTAAAACCACTACTTAAATGTACAAAGACAAACCAGCTCTTCTAGGATGCACACATCCTTGTACGATCACCAAGTGCCCTTTACGAAAACTCTTCTGCAGGAAAGGGATTCAGCCCACTAGCAAGAGACAGCGATCAGATTAGGAATTTTTATTTAGTTCAGGTACACAATATTTGTATGCAGTATCAAAACCTGGTTTAGTCTTTAGAGAACAAGATGTCTAGATGTGAAGCAAGGCCATGGAGACCACATGGCACTACCTGTACACCATGCCTCAGCCACCTGCCTCAGGTGGCATTAAACTACTCAATATAATAACGGAACCAAATGTAGGAGTTGAGACTGAGCAGTCACGTAAAAACAATTGTTCCCTCTCTGCCTATCAAGAGAGTGGAGAGTGACCCGATGTCCCTCCTACTGTCACGTGGATGTCTATCAGCACCGGAATCTATCCGAGAAGTTGGGAGACTTCGGTGTAGTCAGCGGCTGATCACTGGGCTTCACTTCTACACTGCGGTATTTGCGTATTGGGTTTGCCTTGTGAACCTGTTAAAAAAATAATTAAAAAAATCAAGGACAAAATGAAGCAAATGGTTGCAGTTATGATGAAGCTGAAACTTGCAGGTGAGGGATGAAGGCAGGTGTCTGCCTACAAGACCACCACACCGCCTAGGGCGCTGGAGTGAGCCACCAGGAACATGCACGGCACACTTTGGGGTGGATTTTACACAGATCACTCTGTTCCAATGACTACATGTGTACAGCTCCAAAAATCAGTCACCCAAGTAGAGCACCCCCCCCCCCTTTTTTTTTTTTTTTTTTTAAGACCAGTTGTAAAGTTAATGAGGAGTCAGTTTGCAACAGGGAAACTTGAAAAGACAGTCTTAATGTACCTCAATGTTGACATTAGCTCATTTAGTACATTTACACATCCCTTTGGGTTATTTTACAGCCCCTGTTCAGAAATAACTCACTCACCAGTTCTTGTCTTAGCTTAGCAACTTCTTCCTTTTCACGCTCCTCTTGTTGCTGTCTGACCTGCTCTTGATGCCTCTCCCTTACGGCTTCTATAGCTGCCAATCGTTTTTCAAATTCTTGCCGCTCTTTAGCTCTTTTTTCTGTTGCCAGCTCAAAGCTTTCAGGAACTATGGAACCAGAAAGGCTCTCTAAGTTTAGAAATAGAGGAGATAACATTGGTGCAAAGACAGTCAGTTAAAGCAGAGCAGTATTAGCATCAGGTGGAAGCCTCCCTCTGGAGCGCTTCACCTTGCATGGGTAGTTAGTAGGTACCTCCAGGCTTCAGGAAAATAGAAAACCTTACGCCCAAGCATGACCAGTGTTAATGCAGACATTACCCCACCATGGGTGTTCTTTTAGGAGGGAGCAAGCACACAATTGTTAGTACAAACAAGTTTTTGGCTGGTCCTATACCCTATGAACCTTAGTCTACCCTAAGCCATAGATGCCTTCATCTCATTAGAAATGGGAGGAAAAGACTGACAGCTGCTACAGAAATGCCAGCTGTCTGTACAGGGAGCTGCTTGCATACTATTTACCCTTATTCCAAGCTAGCACGCATCAATCATCTGCCAATTGTAGCATAGTTGTTAAATACAGCTGCCATGTTAGTGCAGGACAGGGGGGCAGTGGAGAGGAAACTCCCCCGCTCCCTGGGGATACAAGCTGTTAGGGAATTAGTTGATTAAGTGCAAGGCACTATTGGCTGTGCTGATAAAGAAGAGGCAACAGCCAATCTAAACATCATTTAATTGCACCAGTTCTGAGTTATCAGCCAAGCCTGTAACTCTACCTGATAACAGCTTATTTTCTTTTTTAGGCACAAAAGGCTCCTGGTACACCACTGTGTTGGGACGAGCTTTAAAACATGCTGCCTCTTTCTGCCTTTTCAAGTCTTCTTTAAGCTGCAAGAGAAGACAGCCCATCAAGTGCCAGGCATAACAAAAAGACCATCTGTCCCCACCCAGACTTCAGCACTCCCAACACTGGAAAAGACAGGTTGACTTAAAGTCATTTGCATAGCAAATTATATTAAAGCCAAAAAGTTGTGTCACTTGTCACCTGCCAGTTACTTTTGCTAAAAATAGCCTGAAGAAAATTTCAGGTGTCCACTGCAGACTTCACATGAGAGAAGCACTATATTAACTATACATCAACAAGTCCCCAAGCATAGAGATGGTCAGCAAGGGGATCCAGCTGCACATAATTGCTGCTTAGAAAATACCCCACAGCTGTTCATGCAGTTGTGCTAAGTCCCATCACTTACCATAAAGGGAGCAAAAAAACCCCAGTCCACCAATCCTTAACCCATAGCACGAGTCTCATGCCAAGGACAGGATAAGCCATTCTCAAACTCAGATCCTGATTCAGCTCAAGCAGGACACTTTCTGAAGTCAATCATAACTCCACTAGCTGCCTTAAGGCTGCTCATACCTGCTACCCTTCCCATCCTACCTGCTGTTTCCAGCTCTGTAGCTTGGCAACTCCCCGTTCATCAATCTGCAGATTGAACGGTTCAGGCTGAGTTGGGTTTTTGACCTTCTTTTCTGGAAGCTTAACATGGTCAAAGTAAGGCAGAGGTAGTGCTTTGAACTTTGGCACCTGAAAGAAACAACTTGAAATATTTCTTGCCCTTTCCTCAGAGGCATGAAGCTTTGGAGTTTAACAGCCAAAAGCAAGAGGCAAGTCCTGCCACACCTTTTTTACTTAAGGAGTGGAACCCAAGGTAGCTTTTAGTTCTTACCTCTTCCTTCTGCAATTCTTCTATTTTTTTCTCTTTTTGTATTTGCCGCTCTCTGTCACGGGCATCAAAAGAGAAGGGGCAAACTTCCACGTGCCTCTGCTCTGGCATTTTAGGTTTGAAGGGCACTCCATAATGTGGCATTGGGTTAGCTTTGATCACAGGCACCACCTCTTTTTCCTAAAAAGATATTAGCATTAAGATCTGACACAGCACCAGATTTTTGGGTTTTGTAGAAAGACTACAACTCCAGCCAAACAAAGCCATGAATACTAGAGTTCCTTTAATAAGGGTAACAACAGTGTCAAGCAAAAACTCCGGATACTGTAAAAATTAGTAATCTAAAAAGTACTAATTTACAGGCATCCTGAACCACAGGCAAGTTTTCCCTCTTTCCAAACAACTATCAGTTCCTAGTACTTGTCCAAATTGGACTAATTCTTTAACATCCTCCTCGCAAGAGGGAAAGGAGGAAGGCCATGATGCATTCTGAATCCTGCTCCCAACCTCCAGGGATCTAGAGCGACTGCGGGGAGAAGAAAGGTCATGTGCAATATCTGCCCGTCTCAGTAACAGAATAGGGATGGGCAATGTCCTTTAAAATCTAAGCAGTTTACTTTCCTCATTCATAGCAGCAACACCTCAGAAACCCTAGTCAGTGCCCTCGTGTTTAAATTGAGTTATTTCATTTTGTATGAGAATTTAGTTTCTGTAAAATGAGTAGCAGCAACTAGATTGTTAGAATGGAATGGCACAGAGAAAGATGACCACTGGAGGAACTGACTAACAGGAGGGAAGGGCTAACCAAACCAGACCATCACACCCAACTGGCAGCAGTACGGCAGGCTGGCCAAGGCAGTCACTGTGGTTGGACCAGAAGGCTTGACTACAGCCCATTCACAACAGTAGTTACCTTTTCTTCATCTCTGCCAGGCATTCGGGTTCTGCTTTTCAAGGTGAAGGCTGGAGACTTGGGGACCGTAACAGGAAGCACTTTCTTCTCCGGAACACCCTGTTCAGAAGAGCCAGTAAGGAGTTACCCCAGCCTAAGTGCCAAGAAAAAGCACTACAGAGAAACAACCCGACAGCACAGTCCATACTCATTCCAGTTCTTACCTAATGACAGACAATGTTTACTGAAGATTATTAAATACATAATGCAACATAGCTATGGACATTTTGAAGCTAATTGCCACCTTAGTTCTAATTCCCAGGTCTGGGTATTACGAAACTTCTTACCACAATGTCCTCTAGGATTTTCGTTGGACATGGCCTGGAATGGAATTCAAAGTGCTCTTCCTCCTGCTGCTTCTTACTCTCACGCTCCTGAATCCTTTTTTCTATTTCCAACTCAAAGCCAATGGGTTGCGTGAGTTCCTTCACAGCAGGTTTCTTGGGCAGGAGTGGTCCACCCTCAAAGATTTTGGGATCAAGTTCTCGTGCTTTGAATTTGTACCTACACAGGAAAGGCGGAGATAGTCACTGACATATTGTACATGGCAAGATGCAGCTTCTAGCAAATGGCTTCTCTCACAGCATAGAAGAGCAACAGTCAGGTACAGAAGCAGTTGTGCCATGCACACACATTACATAGCACGCAGCTTTAGTTAGCAACTCCTCCTTTGCTTTTGAAACAGCAAGATATTAAGGAAAACCTTATGGATTGCTTTCTTGGAAATCCAAAGCTTTGTTTACAGGAGAGTTTTGAAGTGTACACAGGCTGTACTGCTATATTGGGTTTGCTTTACTAATCATAAGCTATACTCAACCCAAGATCAGCTCTCTTAAGAGCGCTTTCTTCAAAACAAATTGGCTATTTTTCACATCCCTACAGTCAGAGCCATAGGATTATGCACAAGCTAAAAGAATCTCAATGTTTTTATGCTACTCATTCTTTTACGCAAAAAGGGTATTCCTGAGAAGTGATATTTTGGCACCTGGAAGGTATTTCCAGTGTGGCACAATTGTCTCTTGGAGGACTAGAGTAAACCTTTACTTACTGTTGAATTTTCTCCATTTCCTCTGCTTCTAACTCTGCTGTAGTTTTGCAGGTGACAGGTCTGAAGCGCTGCTTTGTTAGAAGCACTGGTGTTTTAGGGTTTGTAAGCCGAGCCTTCACCAACTTTCCTGGAACTGGGCCTATAAATTCAAGTCACAGAAACTAGCAGTTAATGGCAAGGCCTGCAACAGACATGGACTGTTTGCTCAGTAGAGTTGCCAAAAAAACTTTCTTGCTCTACCACCATCTCTGTGGACAGCCTCCTGGCTGGATATAGCCAGGACTGCTCACCTTCATCAGATTTCCTGCTCCTTAAATGGTAACGAGAGGGTGTGCGTTTTTGGAATGCTTCTACCTGCTCAGCAAGGGACACATATTCTGATGTGGTTTCTTCAAGTTTTCTTTTGTTTCCCTGGGACAGATTGAAAGGTTTGGGGACAGTGGGTCCCTTCGGCACTCGCACCTGAAGACAAAAAAACCTACAGTCATTATGGCCATTTAACACAGGATGCTTCAATGACATTTCCTTTCCCCACTGATTCACAGTATCTGTCCCTTCTCTTTATTGAAAAGAAGGTAACACTTAACATTAGACATAAGTCTTAACTGTTTGAACGTGCACAAGCTAGTTATATTGGGAAACTGTATGAAGTGGAAGATTAAAGCACAAAGTGTAGTGACCAGAAGGTACGACATTAAATGGCCCTTTTCAAAAGGGTCCTTTAGAGTCTTGTGGCAATGCAGATATGCAGTGAGCTAACAGTTAAGTTTGCACAATGCTTCCCTCTCCTATGGTAGCCCTCTTTGTGCGTTATCAGCAGCACGTGTTGCAAAAGCAGAAAGAAGGTGATGTCAAGAGTTAGTCAGCTGAGTGCTGGCAATATTCTGGCTCTCACCGGAGAAGGAGGATGCTTTCTCAGTACTGCTGCAAAATCCACTTCCTTGTACTCGTTCCCAGGCTGGCTTTCCCCATGTTGTTTAATTCTATTCTCCGTGCAGAAGTGGAAGTCAATTGGCTTTGTTACTTGACCAACAGTTCTCTTCATGGGTTGTCCTAAAGGAAAAGAGCATATAAGGTCTTGAAGCCTTTTGGGGTCCAGGGGGAGGATTTGGAGAAAAAAAGCATTTAATTTCTAATTAACTTGAACAGTTTTTGGAGAACTCATCTATAACCTTTCAAAACATGACAAAAACCAAACAAATTTATTTCTAGGCAGTTTAGGGGCTGATCTACATTAAAAGCCACCTAATCCCAACACTTATTACAAAATCTGGAATGTTTGTTTTTAAAGGTACTTGTGCAGCTCTATGCAGCACTCTCCAGCTGAGCCCAGTAGAGCTTCAACCTGCAATTCAGCTAGAGCCCACCTGCTCCAGCAATAGCTGCTTTCAGAGACTCCTCGTTCTTCTTCCGCAGCTCCACAACCTCCTGCTGCAACTGCTGCATCCTTTCCAGCTCCTGCTCCTCTGTACTCTTCAGCTTGCCAGAATGATTGGTCCTCCTGCAGAAGCACGTTAAAGACTGAGATATGCCTTCCTGCTTCACAGCATGATGTTAGCACAAAGGAACATGCTTATCTCTGACTTCATTGCAGAAGCATCACTCATTATAAAAGTATACTCTTTAGAAAAGATCTGTTTGGATTTTGCTTGCTCAAGAAAGCTTGCAGCTAACTGCTATCCTGCACATCCATTTGCTGTATGCACGTTTCATCCATTAGCAAGAACAATTGTTTCCTCAAATTAAAGCAAAAGCTTTCGTTTGCACAGGTTCAGGGGGTGACATACATTTATTTCATCCTAATATTGTTGTCTCGATCCAGTGTTTACTAAATGTGATACCATCACATGCCAAGTTGAAGCTGAAAACACTCTAGCCAGGGCTGTCACCTAAATCAACTATGATTAGCAAAGACAAGTCACAAGAAAGCTACATACTTTAACATTGTTGGTGTGGAGGGCATGGTCAGCTTGCTTCTCCCTCTCCCTGGGGAGAGGTCAGGATTCTGCAGGGGCTGTCTCCTCGTGGGTACTTCTGTGACCTTCTCTCTGCTGCTAGAGCTAAGGCAACAAAGTGTTACAGCAAACCACTCCAATTAACTGTGCTCTAAATGAAAGATCACCTGCAGCTCTCACCACCATGCATAACATCCCAGCACCCAGTGAGTTCTAAGGTATGCCAGACCAGCCTTACCTCACCACGGGCCCACGTACAGATTGTCTAGTTTTCCCTGGTACTCTAAGGCTGCAGAAGGGAAGATGAATTACTGAGTTTTTGGAACTGAGGCTCTTCTTGAGGAGGTAGGTGTACTGTAGTTTATCTGGGTATAGCAGTGCTTGAAAGATCACACTTCAATTTCCTGACCTCAAACTTATCACCATGATATCTTAGCGGTTAAGCTAATTTGAGAAATATTTTAGCTGCAACTGTTTCATAGTTTATGACTGCCTGATGACTTCCTGATGAACAAGTTAAGCCAAATTTAAAGCTAGGTGACAGACACTGAATATGGAGTAAGAAGCTTAAGAAACCCAAGCTTATTTCATTCACATCTCTACCTCCAAATAGAGCGTTTCCTTCAGGTCTTAGAGCCATTTCTTCTTGTTTATGAAACCAGTATCAGGAATCAGGTTTCAGTCACCTCTCCCTAACCTTCCTGTGAGAACCCTCTCAGCCACGTGGAAATTCTTTCCAAAGAAACAGTTTTATCCCCCTTCCCAGCCCCAAACAGAAAGACTTTGATGACATACATTCTCATTTTTTTCAGGGGTGGTACTTCTTCCTTATTAACCAAGGCATTAGCATTTCTCTCTGCTTTGATTCTAGCTGGCTGTTTGCGTTGCTGTGTTTTTCTCTGTGTTGTAGCCTGTCTTCTACCAGCCCTAGAGTAGAACAGAAAGTGGAGGTTAGCTTTCCCACGGGTCTGAAAAGACACACGATCTGTGTAACACTTTTTACGTCAGCACATCACCTAACTCCAACATGCCCCCTACATAAATTGCGTGTTTAACACAACAAACTAAATGCAGCATGAATTATTTAACAATCCATAAACTTAATATTCTTTGGTACATATGAGGACACAGAGTCCCTTGCATTCACATCAAGAACGAGTGCTGCCCAACTCAGGCAGATATAGACAAAGAAACTTTATAAGCCACTTCAGTTTCAGGTATCCTCACATTCCAGAAACTCTTAGTGCTACTCTCATTTGACAAGCATGTGAGACACTGCATTACATTTCCACCCCTAGAGATTGTCCCTCCAGCTTAGCAAGCAGATCAGCTGTGCCAATACACGATCTCTGTGCTGGAGAACTTCAGACCCGTAGGATGACCCAAGAACAGCTAGATCCTGAGGACCAGGACCTGCTTAGTTACACCATCATCAATCTTCACACAAACCGAATATAAGTATTTCACCTTTGAGAGGCCTCTGCAGGAGCAGTAGCTCTCCAGCTCGTCAGGGATCCAACAATATTCTGAGGAACTGCACTGGCCTGCACACATTCTGCTTGACCATCATCTTCACCATGGCTTTCACCTGCGAACAGTGACAAGCGTCAGCTTGTATATATCTATGCACTATACACACACACAGAGGAATGCTAAAGTGAAACCACATGAGGCCTTGCTAGACAACAACATATGAAGATGGTCCCACAAAAGCCAGACTGAGGCCTTTTCATTTTGCGAGTGAAAAGCAGGTAAAATTTATTCTCTCCCCCCCCATACCATGCCAGCTTACTCATTGTTATTCCTTGTGACGCGACAGAAGACAGAATAATATCAGGCTTTGAAAAAGCAGGGCTGTTCTGTGAGACCTTTGCCAGATTTTCTGCAGGAGGGACATTCTCCAGATCGGCTTTTTGGTCTATGAGGAAAGAGAGACTTTCACTATCCATACTATGTTAGGAATTTTTAATACCTCAGAATCTCATTATGATGTTAACAAAGTCATCTGTCAAGTTACAGATGACAAAGATTAAACATAAAAACAAAATGGAAAAACCCCATGCATGCTTAATGATGCAGTTAACATGACTAATCCGCTGGCACAGAAGCCAGGCCCAAAACAAGGATCACACCAAGCCCTCATCCAAAGTAAAAACAATCAAGGAGTTGGAAGCACCTTACCAAACCAGGAGTCTGCATTGTGCACATCGTCATCGCTCAGAGTCGCAAAGTTGATGCAAGGGTTTGGGACATCAAAGGAATAGCGAAATTCTGGGCGAGACATCTTCACCTTCACACTGTCTCCACGAGTCCTCCGCTCACACTGCTACAGTCCCTTTAGACAACAAGCATTGGCCACATGTTATACCAAACCCCAACACAGGTGTCAGCTAAATCATTCTCCACCTCTCTTCCTCTGCACGATTTCTAGAGATAGAGGCTGGGGCAGCCTTGGGTACATTTTCCTGTCTTGTAATTTACAGCCTTTGGACAGAATGCCTCATAAGCAATGCAGTTTTTTATTCTACTGCGGACTGGCAAAGCTAAGGAGATTTTACCAGTGTTGACATTTGCAGGTTCAAAACTATCAAAAAGATAAAGTTTTGAAGGTTTTCTTTGTACCTGTAGGTGCTAGAATTGTATTTTCTAAAAGGAAGTATAAAACTCTTCCAGAGCGAGACTGATTTGCCCTTCCCTCCCTCACCACGTACAGCAAAGAAGAGTTCTTCCCCTTACAGATTTATGAAGCAAGAGCCTGATGAGAAGGTTGACTACAGAGCACTGCAAAGCACAGTCTTTCTCCCTCCAAAGGGCTACAAACAAGAACTAATGACACAAACGTGCTCTTCTATAGAGTAAACTGATTTTCAAAGGAGGAAGAGAGTTGTGTAGAGTATTATTAGAGGGCAAAAAGTAGGAAGAAGGGCAGTGTAGGGCCCTTGCTGCATTCCACGGCACTACCCTGAGGCTGGCCAGGCTATAAACAAACCAAGCACTGTGACCATGTCAAGAATGGTTCCTGCAGTTAATTAGTGGAGCACTGACAGCAGGAGGAGTCCCTGTGTCAACAGGTGATATTAAACTCAACCCAACAGGAATAAAGCCAGCAACAAAGTTATAAAACCTTAAATTGTAACAAAACCTTTTTGCAAAGGTGTTTTCATGCTTTTATGATGCCTCGCACAGCTGCAAGGCAAAGCCCCTGAGGATGTATTATAAAACACTCCCTAAGGAAATCACCTGAACTTTGCTTTTATGAGTCCAACCAATTCTAAAGCAGCATATTCTTAATCCACAAAGTCTCAGACCTAAACCATCTGTCTCGGCAGACCACACATAGTTCAACCCGGACGGTATGCTCCATAAATAAGAAAATGTTCAAGAGTAAATCAAAGCAGCATTTAGAAGGTACCACTGCTGTTTACAATCACCGGCCCTCCCCCTGATGATGGCTGCACTGAGAAGCCTTCAGTTCCCCAGCACAGAATTGTGATAGTTAAGGGGAAGAATGTCATTAGAGAAGCATCAGCTACATGACTGCAAAGATGTCAGGGTAGGACCCAAAGAAGGCAAACAGAAGAATCAGAGCCAAAACCAACCGTCACCGAGCTCAAGACACGGCTGGAATCGAATGCTTTCCTACCGCCCTTAATCAAGATAGAGTTTCTGTCAACACTATCCACTTTTTTAAAAATCAAATGCGTCATCTGCATTCTCCCCTCACCCTCCCCAGTCTGTCCACCCAGTCAGAGCTCTGGGCATCGTGTTTCACAGCTACTCATGTCCACTGCTACACTGCTGCAGTTTCCAACTTTTTACTGTGTAAAGTCCATATCCTTTCATAACGTCAGCACCCTCAACACTGACCTCACCGCCGACCCTTTCTCTCTCCCCCTCCCTCCATCCCAGGGGGAAGCAAATAGTCATGAAAAGAAAGGGAGTGCATCAATGCCACAGTTTCCTACTCCAAGTCTCTTGAAAGAGCCAGTGGGGAGGTAAAAGTTATTGTGACTGAGCTGCAGAGGCTCCGTTTCAGTCAGATGAACTCACGGCATCACTTTTCAAATCCCTCTGTATGCTCCGAGTCCTGTGCAGAATAAGATTTTCTGCGAAGCAGCAATTCACTGAAAGGCATCTTGCTCCTCCACCCATCGACTCAGCTTGGGACTGAGTTCCTGTCAGTTAGGAACATTATGGTGATTTATCACTCTGATATGCCCACTGCAATGCTTCTGCAATCGAAACAGGCTCAGCCAAGGACAGCCCCAAAGCCTGCTGCCCACTCCATTGAGGCATTCTAAAACACCCAATTGCGATTCTGACAGCAGAACCACCATTATCTCAGTCTTTTATTTAAAGACAGAAGGCAAAATTCTCTCTCTCCACTGTGGCACTCTTCCACCAGAAGTGAGGTGCAGAAATTTCTTCTCATTAATAGGGACGTTACCTAATTAGCAGGCACTGTGTGCATTTACCAGACCATGGTTACAAGCACACTGTAATCCTACGTAATTACAGAGTGGATTTAAAGCATAACCCTGCTCTCCCCCATATCCTTCACCTTCTGTGTCCACACTAGTGTTCGCAGAGCTTCGCAGCAAGCCAGGGGAACCTTCACCCCCGTTCTGCAGGATCAGCTTTCTCCTCGTTCACAGAGAGCTGCTCACCCCACCGCTGGTGCAAGAAAGGAGGAAGATCCAGTCCTCTCGCTTTCAAAAATAGCCCAAATTCCTTTGATAAAAGTGACTGCCTAACTAAAACCTTAATTGTCTTTCTAGGGCCACTTGCCTCACTAACCTAAAATGTACCTCACACAGCCACAGCCCCATACGGTTTCTGCACAGAGCAGCACAGCTGTACCCACAAAGAGGAATGGATGGCGGGTTTCTCTGCACATCAGGTTTCTTTTGAGTAACTATGCTTTGGCACGTTCCAGAAGAGTGCCTTGGCCTGGGTTAGATTAGTTAGCTTTGAAAAAGGATTAAGCTAAATTGGAACAAGCATTCCTATCCCAGAATAAGACTGATCCAACAGCAAGCGCAATAGGTATTTTGGAATAACTTCACACCTCGCTCTAATCCAAATTAGCTTTAAAATGCTAACACGATTCCATCACAGATGTGCTCAGCATCTTATTCTCAATGTAGTTGTTAATTTCTTGCCAAAACCATTTAGGGCAGACAAGACTGGAGAGGAGTAACTCCAACAAGACCCATACAGTACTGGCCTAGGTGCAGTATGTGACTCTCAGCACCAAGCACATTCACAATTACGACCTAACCAAAAGAGCCTTTTATTTTTGGAGCAGCAGCCCAGCATGGACTGATGGTCATCAGGCAATACAATAACAGCACCCACTGCCTGGGACAAAGGACCCTCCCAGACATACAGGCCTTTGTGTTGGAGAGAGGAAGCAGTGTTCCCAGGTGAAAAATTAGAGGTCAGAAGGAGACAGAATGGAGGAGTTTGGGGGAGCATCAAGGGACAGACAGAAGGAGGGTGCAGAGATGATCTGCTCTTTCTTGCCATCTTGCAATGTAATTAGATAATCCCCTGGTCAACTAGAGACAACACTTTATCACAGTACACCACTGGAGCTTCATAAGATACAGATGTTATTTACTCCAAATCCTAACAGGATCAGAAAGCAGAAAAAAGTAGTACCAGATACACAAAAAGGATATTCCGAGTTACAGTGGCAGATATATCTGAAGCCAGTTGATCCACATGTCTCAAAACCCAGGATGGGCTATCGGGAATAAGCAAGAGAAGCTTCCCAACCAGTGTGCTGCAGTAACTCCAGTGCCTTCAGCTGGGCACCCAACACTGACTGCTATTTAAACAGAGGACGCTGCGCTAACCAGGCACCTTATTTAATTCAGCCTGGCAGCTTCTTCATTGTCCTACAACCCACAGCTTTCCGATAATCTGGACAAGGTGCACAGATGCTTTTCAGGGGTTAATATGCAAATTGGACCATTACAAAGGGCTGGAAACTGCCTCTCTGTAGGTACAGTGCTGTCATCACAGCCTGGTAGGAAGCTACCCCACCACAAAGCCACCAAGTGAACTCCTTCAGCACGATGCCAGCAATCACTAACAGAAGTCATCCTTGCTTTTCCCTGAACAGGGTTAAGTGAACACTTTTAACAAATTCTGGATCTACAGCTTCTCCTTCCTCTCTGATGCTCTTCACTCAATGCTCCAGTGTGTTTTTCCACAGCACAGAATCAACACTGAATTCATCGTCCCGGGTACAGAACAGAGGCAACGCTGCTGTTCCATTGTATAATATTCAAATTGGGACACAAAGCCTTTAACTCCACGCAGGCGAGAGATGAGCACGCAGAGAGCGCCACAGACCACCCTGACCTGTTGTCATTAGCCTACAGCAAAAGGAGAAGTGAGGTGCTGGAGCAGCAGGTTTTCTCCAGAGCAGCCTTTGCTCTGCTAACGGTCCAGACCCACCTCCCTTCCAACAGCCCAAAATAAACAGCCCTGACACCTTATGCTCCGTAAATGAGATCCCACAAGTTTTAGAAGACATGAAGATGGGACATTCTAAGAATAGCTGTTCAAGGAAAAGTAAATTATTTTTAGCCAGTATAACCTCAATTTGTTGTTAGATTAAGTTGAAGCTCCTCTAGTTTAAAAAAAGCACAGTGTAAAAATAGCTAACTTAATACCTTTTCTGTTACTTAAGCCAGGTTTCACCTGGTTTTCTTCCCTCCTTTTCCTAGGAAGCAGGATTTGGTTTGAGAAGATGTAACATAGTTTTCCTTAGCTCCAACAGTAAGACACACACTTCTTCAGGTTTTGAGCAGTGGGTGTGAACAAACAGTTACCGACACAGCAAGGCAGCCTGGTCCGTGCTGGCACGGTGCTCTAGGTTGTATTTCATCGTGAAATACATCGTTTCATCACATCAGATTTTGTGATTGTTTGAAGACTCGCATCCCAACACGCAACTTTCTTTTACTCACGAGGCAGCTACCCCATCATAAGGCTTATTTCAGTACTGCGAACCCATCTTCGGGGAGGGAGCCCTTTGCCACGGTGGCTTCACCCCCCGCCGGCCTCGGGCTGGCCCCAGGCTCCGGCTCCTTCAAGCCCCACGGTCACGTCGAGTTTGCAATTAGCCCTCGGGGATTTAGGCCCAGACCACGGAGCTCCGGGTGCGATCCTGCCCTCCAGCCACCGCGCCAGGCCACGGCAAAAGCCACCCCGGACACGGGCTAAGCGCCCAGAGCCGCTTTCCGCCTCCATTTCCCAACCGCGCCCTCGCGGTGCCGCAAGGAGCTGAGGCCATGTAACCGATACCTGGGGCTCGGAGCAGGCCCAGCCACGTACCCCACAACCGGAGAGACCCGACCGGACCCCAAGGAAGGGCTGCGGCCCAGGCCGTCCTCCGGTAACAGCGTCTGCCAGATAAGGTAGGACGAAGCCGAGAGTCCCCCGCAGCTGTGGGGAGAACCGCCCGGTAACCACCGTCGTCGTCGCCGCCCGCCCCCACTCACCTCAGCGCCGCGGCCGCCCTGCGCGGCGCCTCTACCCGCCGCCGTTAACGGATTTCAAACAGGGCTCGTCTGTCCGAAACGACCAATCATCGCCTGGGGCACTCCCTCGGTGCGTGCCGATTGGGCGTGAAGGCCAGGGGACCCGGATGAGCAAACCCCGCCCCAGGCGCAGTCGAGTGCTGCCCGCAAAGGCCGATGGGAAGCGTAGTACCCGAGCGCACCGCTCCACAGCTAGGAGGCGGGACGCGAACCACAGCTCCCATAATGCACTGCGCGGGACGCGCCCGGCCAACCAGGTGAGGCGCCGCTTTGAGTGTTGTTCGGGTGGGGCCTATCAGCTGCCGGCGGGCGGGTCCCCCGAGTAGGGCCGGGTGGGGGCCGGTGCCCGCACCCCGCCGGGCCCAGGCGGCCTCGGCAGCGGCGCACATCGCGCCGCCCGGGCAGGAGCCCACCGGACCCGGACCCGGTACCACGGCTGTACCTTAGGTGGTCGCTGGAGCATTTAGTTTGCGGCTTTGAGTAAGCACGCAGCGGCCCTCTGTCTCTCTCCCGCCTCGATCGACCACAGGCAGCCTGCCTGCCCTCCCCAAGCCCTGCCTGACTTCCTCCTGCTGCCGGCCGTTCCTCACCAGGTCAGCTCCCTCTGCCCGCCTGACCCAGGGAAGGCGGCTTCCACCACCCACCTCTCCCAGTGAGCACGGGCGGGCTCCCTGCTGCTGGGGTAAAGTGCCCTTTAGGCAACATTACCTACCCCAAATCCTGCATAAAACTCCCCGGAGTAGGGCCGGACAGCAGGCTCTGCTAACAAGGGAGGACCCTGCCGACGAGAGGGGCCGACCCCGGCTGCCGCAGCCTGCCTTCCGCCGCCTCGGCACTCTGCCCGCGTCAGCCTTACCACCCCCCCGCTCCCCGCAGCCTCCCGGAACACTGTGGAGACAGCAAAAAAAAAAAAAAAAAAAAAAAAGACAAAAATCACACGTGAAGCCCGAAGCGCTGTAAGGGGACAGGCGGCCGCAGCAGCAGGCTCTGCCGTCCCGTACGGTCCCCACGCGGCGCGGCAGGACCGGAGCTCCCGTGGCACCGGCGCCGCCGCGGCCTGGGCTGCCCACGGGGCCCGGCGTGGCCGAGAGGGGGCGCCAAAACCCCGCCCTCCGCCCGGCAACTCCGCGCCTGCGCACTAGCACCCGCCCCCTCCGCGCAGGCTCCCCTCCTTTCCCTCTCCGTCTAACCGACGCTCCCGCCCCGCGCATGCGCGCAGC